CGACAACACAAGAAGTTCCACAAGGTGCATTTTGTTTACATATCCAAATTTTCCTTCTTATCCACTGATCCCCCTTAATTTATATTGTTAGCAAACTACAAAGAAAAAAAGTGTAATCGTCTCTGGAAGAGAACTTTCATCAAATATACCAATTATCAACAACTCGTTCATATCTCCAATACCCATATAAACACTGGAAAATACTCATGTATAATCACAAACTCTCGACTTTCTAAAATTTGGAACGGCCAGAATGTTTACCCAACATGATTTCTTTCTTCATGTTAACCAAATTTTAGGTTCACGCCCTAATAAGGTTAGCTATGTCATGTAGGCAGTAAGAAAATTGTATAGGTATTCAAAAAAGATATAGGCATCAACATTTAAATGAATAGCATCTTACAACAAAGATCAAGACAACAATTTCCAAGCTAACTTAGTTGTATACACAACAAGAAACTGTGCTGAACACATCAACCCTCTTTTGAGTCAGTGGCATATGAATGTTCAATTCTTTAAACCACATTCATATGAAAAGTAAAAAAAATAATAATAATAAACCCTCCTAGGCATCTCCAACCACAATTGCATGCTTCTCCACTCCATTATTCAACCTTTCATGAAAGAGTTACAGAATTCAAGATTATAGAAATTCTCATGCAGCGTTTAAAAGTTGGTTCTTTAAAAAGAAAATAAGAAATCCTATCATTTGCAGTAACATTGGCCCAAATATGGGAACAAAGTGAGAGAAAGAAGACCTTCAAAGATGAGAGTATGGAAGTTCCGAGTATTTAGGACACGGCCCAATAAAGCTAATAGAAACTAAGAGTTTTAGGGCTTGCATTGGTGCTTGATGGTATTGGGGTTGGTGGTTTCATTCTTTAAGTTGTTGCAACTATCATTGTGACAATTAGTGAAATTCTTGTTTCATTTTTATTGAACCAATAAAAAATTATATGTTCTTTGTTTCAAAATCCAATCTGCACGTCCAATAAGTTCTTTGTTTCAAAATCCAATCTGCACGTCCAATAATATCTCTTTTTGATGAAAAGGCACACCACAATTTCATTTAGACAAATGAAAGAATAAAAAGGCCATATCAAATGATAGCCCAACAACAAAGAGTACACATCTAATAATATTATTGCCAATACACCTAACAAGATGCATACACAAGCAAAAAAATGACAGCAATAAATGATACTTTTTTAATACTCATGTTTTATCTTTTAAGAAGTATTGACATGTATCATATCAACATCATGACTAATGCTAGAAAAGGAGAATATAAAGATCCAACAAATAATTAATAAACTAGAAGAAGCAAAAAGTCTATAAAACTCAAATCATATACTTCAAAATAATAATGTAGTAGGACATATCAGAAAGAGTGGCACATTTCAGACTGCGCAAGAAATTGAATCAACCAATAAACTAATTTAGAAATTCTATAAAATGATGTGCAAGCAGAAAATACACAAAAAGATTTATTATTTAATAAGCACAAATTATATGAAGATTAGAGAACATTCAAACAATGCACTTAAACAATGTCATAACCTAACTCTTACAAAACTTTGATCGAAAATGAGGAAGAAACCAACACCAATGTCAATGTCACATTACACTCTCCTAAGGGAGAAAATAAAAATATATAAAACCACTTAATCCTCCACTCCATATATGGAGAAAGCAGCTATAAGGCCAAAGGAATGCACTCCCTGGTGCGTTCCTTTGTGCCATTGATCTTTTTAATTTTTTTTTTCTCACTCCCTTTCAGAGTGTGTTTCTCTTGAACTTTTAGTCTTTTCATAATATCTATAAGAAGTTATTTCTTGTTCAAAAAAATAAAGAAAAGAAAAGGTACAGCATTAACTCAAGATCCTTAAGCAAATGAAAATGAAATTTGATGCTTTTCACAGCGTAGACAGCCGTAACATAAGTAATTCTACTTTTTTCTCTACCTTCTTTTACATGATACTCAACGAAAGTATATTAACATCAAAAGGACACATGGCAACTTGCAACGTATAGATTTCAGGAAAAAAGAGAAGAAACTTGAAATAAATTGTCACTCTGCCATCGACTTATATAATAACCAAATATGAGAGAGAGAGAGAGAGAGAGAGAGCTCACCTACTAACAACTGTTACTGTGTATGTACCCGGAACAGAACTGGTCTGCAACAAATTCAACAGAATACCAAGCATCCTACTAGCTTCTGACATTAACCCGACTGGATCCAAAATAGAAAAACCACCAGCTAGCCATGAAATGTTAAAAACATCCCCATTTCCTGTTCGCAGGAAGGATAAAGTTAAATTCCAAGAAAACAAACCTCCAGAAAAAGTCGCTATATAGAACTTAAAAAATGAGAAATGTTACAATGTGAAACCCAAACAACTTAAAGCGGACACATGTTTGTGATTTCCAAATGCAATACCTTCTGAGATAGCTTTTTGTGGATCATTTGTGTCAGACGTAAAAAGTAGAACATATGTTTCCAAAAATTTCAAAGCCAGCAACCTCTTCCCAACAGAACCAGGCTACAATATGACATGTAAGAAACTTCAAGGTCAGAACAGTTGGTAATTCTTTAAAAAAAAATAATAATAAAAGATTAGTCAATTATGTATATCATTTTTTACCCCAAAAAAATTCAATTATGTATATCATTTTTTATCCCAAAAATTTCAATCATGTATATCTTCCAATGAGTAATAAAATATACAGGGAAGCAAGCCGGAAGAAGGAATATTTTAGTATTACACTCACAATATCCACCGAAAATTTCTTGTTTTTTCATTCAGAAACAACCAAATCATTCAATTTACAAAAGTACGATAAAGTTTTGTTAGGAAAAGTCCTCTAAAAGTATAAATTAAGATTTTGTGCATACACAACACACACATGCATAGATATACAGAGAACAAGGGAGAGAAGAGACAAATATTAAAAAAATAAAAGTCAAAACAGTCAGCCTTATTATGAGCCTTTTCCAGTAACAATAACACTATCAGGCCAAGAGAAGAGAAAGAAGAAATAGAGATCCACATTTAAAAATAAAAAAACAGTTTTCAAGGGCCACAGTTAGGCATTTACATACCTCTATAGCAATTGCCAAAACATCATCTTTAAACTTCAACATTCTCATCCACATTTCTTCAAGCCATCTCTCAACTTTACCCCGCCGATGGAACTGTGGAATTCTAAAGTTAGCATTTAATTTCAAATGTTACGAAAAAAAATTTAACTAAAGAATACATATAAAACATATGCATACTAATGACATTGATCGAAGACTAGAATAACTGTACATAAATATAACATAATGGTTGTAACTGTACATAAATATAACATAATGGTCGACTGGTCTTCTCACACGAGTCAAACCATGTCAGTAAAGCAATGTGAAAATAAAATAAACATAAATCAGAAGGAAAAAAATCAAGCATTAAACATTCAGTAAGCTGAATTATTCCAAAAAAATCTTCCACTTTAAGCAAGGAGAGAAAAAGGAGAAACCTGCAATGTCATCTCTCTTAAAGTACCACAAAATAATTTTTGGCCACTAATAATTGATTGTCCTGCTACAACAGAGTCTTCATCCTTTAAAGATGCCAATAAAACTGACATTAACAGAGGAGAATGTTCCATGGCTCTTAATCCAATGTCTTCAATCACCCTGTAGATGGTGCAAAGTGAAAGCATTTAACGCATAAGTAAATAAAAGGAAAATATTTCCAGGAGCTAACATGCTTGAGAAGAGAAGTAAAAGATGTCTTAGGTGTACAAAGAAGCCAAGTGGAACTATTGTTGATTGCACATCAAGAAGCAATAAAAAGAATTCAAAAGAAACTAACCGGTCCCAAAGAATACATTGGAAATACTATATTTACCGTAACCTGTATATTTTTAACATGGAAACTTTCACATTGTCATAAAGATAATTACAAGAGAGGAGGGCAAGAAATTTCCCAATCAACAAAAAACAACACAGGTTATTAAAAGGCCCTTTGTTATGCAGTAATCGAGTACAGCGAATAAGTGTCAAATGAAATGAACTTTGACATTATCAAGATCACAAACATGCCTCTCCTGGCTTCAAAAAGACAAACATTACTCTCCAACTAAATTTCCTAAAGCTTTAGTATAGTGACCATAGATTGACAATAAGCTTTAGTATAGCGACCATAGATTGATATCGTTGATCCAAATTTGCTGCCGTAAATAAATGCCCTATATACCAAGTAATACTGACGAGAATGTATGCAAGAAACAAAATTACCATTTAAAGGCAACCAAATTTTTTGCAGATAACATAGTAAATACAACACAAAAGTGCATTATCCCGTGTAATGAGAACGGTTATCACAAAACTTATCGACTCACTTCACTCTTTACTAACATTGGACTCGTACTAGGATCTCACTTTCATGTAGATCGCTTCTTGCAAGTATAAGTAATGTAGGAGATGTTATGATAAGCAAGAATGATCCAAAATACAAACAACAGAGGGAAAAATTAGGGTTCTGAACTCACTCAATCAACAATTTACGTAGTAAGCTCTCGGGGGAGGACTGAAGCTCGACCAAGTAGGAGTAAAGCTCTGCAGCGAAAGATGGCTCGATAGACAGTATAATATCCTTTACCTGCTTCAAAGATGAAATTTTCACCGTTAAATCGCCGTGGTTGTTAGCGGCGGCGAGGAGAGACAGTGCTCTTTCTCTGAGAACTCCAGCCATAGTTGACCTAGAACGAAAAAAGTAACTGTGAAACAAGAATGGTGAGGGTTGAATTAGGGAGGTGTGCTAGGGCTTTGAAGAATCAGAGAATTTTATCCCGGGAAAGAACATGAAACTGACGGGATAAACGAACCGGAGAGGTCAGGTTGCGAGGGAATTTAAAGCAAGCAGATGAGACGACGGCTGGCGCGGAGGGCAGGCACGTGAATATCACGTGGCCCTCCCGCATTTTTATACTTTAGGGTTTTTTTTTTTTTTTTTAATAAATAAATCAATTTATATTTTTCAGGAAAATTTCATTTTGAACTTCGGAAGATCGGAATCTCAGTTAGGGTTAGCAGAGAAGAAGAAGAATCATGGAGGGTTGGGATCCGAATACCAAGTCGACGCTCACCCAAATTCCTCTGCTAACGACGAAAGCTGGGCCGAGAGATGGTGCGGCATGGACGCAGAGGCTGAAGGAGGAGTACAAGGCATTGATCGCCTACACTCAGATGAACAAGTCAAATGATAATGACTGGTTTCGGATCTCAGCTGCTAATCCAGAAGGAACACGATGGACCGGCAAGTGCTGGTACGTGCACAACCTTCTCAAGTACGAATTCGATCTTCAATTCGATATTCCTATCACGTATCCATCCACAGCGCCAGAGCTGGAGCTGCCGGAGCTCGATGGAAAAACTCAGAAGGTTGGAATTTCGTTTGGTTTTCTTATTTTTGAAGAATTTTCTTTATTCGTAGTTGAATTTCGAAACCTTTTTTAACTCGTTGTGGATTGTTTCAGATGTACAGAGGAGGAAAGATCTGCTTAACCATTCATTTCAAGCCTCTCTGGGCGAAAAACAGGTAACTAAGTCTAAATTCTTCTAAATGACGGTAGAGACATAGATCTTGAAGTTCACGTGTTTGCAGAATTGGTTACTTTCTGGAAAGGCTTAACGAGTGGATATAAGTTTAACTTCGTGTTTGCATGCAATTGAAAGTTAAAGCAGGCTCAGGTTTAGAGCTAACTTAGAATGCATGCTTGATTCGATATGCGTCTCACTCAGCAGTCTCTGCCTTTCCCAACTTGCTGACAGTGAACGGCTCATTTTGAACGTAAACCCATTGGTTCTCTGTAACCCTTTATGTCAATTGCCAGCAAATATTGTCTGCTTTAACCCGTTACGAATTGTCATCAGCCTCACGGTTTTAAAACATGTCTATTAGGGAGAGTTTTCTACACGCTTATAAGAAATGTTTTGTTCTCCCCTCTAACCGACATGGGATCTCACATTCTTATCCCAGTTGTTCTACTTTGGAACCAGATTTGTTCACAATTTATCTGATAAAAACTTTATCTTACATGAATCATGTGATCGCTTTTGGATCGGTACGTTTTTTCTATGACCAGTTAGATCAATACGATTAGGATGTTCTTCACGTTTATGTTTCCTTATCCATGCAAGATTCAGCTTCATTCCTGCTAATGGGACCTGTACAAGTCCCAAACTCTCATTTCATTAGTGTCATTTGACTATCTTGTGTCCGTTATTCTTGCGAAGGAGTCAAAATCTTCAAAATAGTACTGTTTTGGAGCTGTTGTTGGGCATTACACATTCTTTTTCAGCTTGCCATTGTCATAGCCAACCTTATTTAGTATCTGTTTTGCAGTCCTAGGTTTGGAATTGCTCATGCTCTTTGTTTGGGACTTGCACCGTGGCTCGCTGCTGAGGTTCCAATTCTCGTTGATTCTGGCATGATCAAGCACAAAGACAACACAACATCGACCAGTGAATCTTAACATGTGTATGAACTTGTCATGGCTACAAAAGTGAACTTTTGACCTCATATATTTCCCAATGACTGGAAAATAAACTTATCATCCCCCAAATTTAACTGCGGAGGTTGCAGCCCTCCAGTTACATTTACACAGTCATATATTTACTGGGAGTCAGTTCATAAATGTTGATGCATCAGCTAATCATGGTCTGTTTACCTTTACCCTTTCTTGGGATTTATTTATTTACTTTTACCCTTAAAAGCATAGTAGTAGCGGAAATGTGGGATGCGAATTGTTTTTTTTATGAATGCAGCTGCTTAATACTAGTGAATATTTTTTCAGTGTTGGCCAATAATTCGACCAAAACATAGACCATCCACGGTATGTTTATACCAGCTCGATGTATTTTATTGAATTGAGTATAATATACTAGATCCACTTATTGTGTGAGATTCCACATTTATTGGAGAAGAGAATGAGTGTCAATGAGGATGTTGAGCCCGGATTCACTTATTGTGTGAGAGTACACATCTATTGGAGAGGAGAACGAGTGTCAAAGAGGATGTTGAGCCCAGAAGATGGTGGATTGTGAGATCTCACATCAGTTGGAAAAAGGAACGAAACAGTTTTTATAATTGTGTAGAAACCTATCTCAAACATTGCTAGCGCAGGCTTGGGTTACTGCATATTGTAATTTTGAAGGATGGTCCAAGATTGTAATGATGTAAAGATTTTATTTGGAATTATTAAGAATATGCCATTTCAGATAGCTACGAACCTTAATTCTTCCTATTTCTTATGAAATTTCATTAATATGTACGAACCTCAATTCTTCCTTTTTCTCGGGAAATTTCATCAATATATTGCGTATATAAATTAATTCTTATGAAATGAATACATCAATATGACAATAATTCGGGTTTGATTTAAAATTTTATTATTACTAGTTTTTTTTTTTTTTTTTCCAAACCGTGCATTGATATTTCAATCTACATTAATGAAAAGTAGATTACAAGTACGAAAGAAATAGGATTAATGGGGTATCAAACAAGGCCTAAAATTATTAGAAGTATAATTGGTGTATATAAAATCAATTAACAATAAACTAATTATTACATTGCATCAGCAAATTCTGCTATAGAAACATAATTTAAAAGCCTATACACCTCATACCCCATCATCCCTCTCCTTTTATTTTTTTTTTAAAAACACACAGACATTAGGTCATGGAAACTGATGCATAATTTCTGATATCATCAGCCAAATCACAGGAAAAGTAAGCAGTAACAAGAACTCTAACCTCCACCCAAATTCTTGGCTTTCCATTACAAAGTTGGCCCAGCTGCAAGAATCTCCTCGGCTAATTTACTATCCCTCTGCACCTGGTAAGCATGGATCCCTTCATAATTCTTCTTGAACAGACCACCCAGCTTCAGCAGTGTCTCCTTGTGGCCGTCTTTGTTCGACCACTGTTGTTCAAACAATCAGAAACAAGAATGAAGTTAAACATGGTAGACTGCAATCGAAAATGAAGCTGACCGATGAATTCGTTTTCGACTAACCGTGTTTACTGGATCCAGGATTTCTGCTGGAACTCCCTCAATAGCATCAGGAATCTCAAGGCCAAACACTTCAGTCTTGGTGTAATTTGCCTCCAAAAGCGCTCCCGAGTGGATTGCGTCAATGATCTTCCTCGTGTAGGCTAACTTGATACGGTTACCACTTCCATAGCTGCAAGAATATCAAATTTAGTTCATGGCCAAGACGTTTCAGCTGTAATTTATGAAAACTGAGAGCTCAATGTTGGTATTGTTAGGAATCACGACTCTCCACAATGGTATGATATTGAAGCTCTCATGACTTGCTTGGGCTTCTCCAAAAGGTCTCATACCAATAGAGACGTATTTCTTACTTATAAACTCAAGATCATTTCCTAAATTAGCTAATGTGAGACTACGTCCCAACAATCCTCAACAGATATGTCATTTCGTACCTTCCTCCGGACCAACCGGTGTTTACGAGCCATCCCGTGGCACCGTGTTTCTTCATCTTCTCAGCTAGCATCGCTGCATACCTAGACGGGTGCAGCATTATGAACGCTGCTCCAAAACAAGCTGAGAATGTCGCCGTTGGCTCTTTCACGCCATCCTCAGTTCCAGCCACCTGATTTTGCAACAAGATTCAGCTCATTAGGATTTACATCTATTAGTATTATGGATTGAATGAGTGAGTAATAGCTAACTACCAAAGCAGTGTAGCCACTGATAAAATGGTACATGGTCTGAGCCAAGCTCAGCTTGCTCACTGGTGGGAGAACCCCAAATGCATCACAGGCAAGAAGAATCACATTCTTTGGATGAGGACCAACACATGGGATTTTAGCATTCGGTATGTATTCGATGGGATAAGCAGCACGAGTGTTCTCTGAATCGACAAGAACCGAACGATAATAAGTCAGTCTGCACAAGTGGTACATCGGTAATTTATTCATCTCAACACGTCTAACGAATACCTGTAACGGATTTCTCAGAGTAATCGACTTCTCTAGTGTGCTCATCAAACACCACATTCTCAAGAACTACAGCAAAAAACAAGAACAAGCACAACAGGAATAAGCACCATCAACATAATCAGGTAGCTAACAAACATTAAGTTCGGAGATTACCAGTCCCAAACTTGATAGCGTTCCAAATATCGGGCTCCTTTTCCCTCGACAAGTCAATGCATTTGGCATAGCAACCGCCTTCAATGTTTGAGACACCGTTATCACTCCAACAATGCTCGTCATCCCCAATTAAGTACCTATTATGATCTGTAGACAGCGTGGTCTTTCCAGTACCTGTTAACACGTAATCAAATAACGAGCGATCCTCAAGGCTTGTCCATGGCTTTCGATAACTCGAATTCAATGAAGTTATAATAAAACGTACCCGAGAGTCCAAAGAAAAGGGCCACATCTCCATTTTTGCCCATGTTGCAGCCAGAGTGAAGGGAGAGGATCTGGCGCTTGGGCATGAGATAATGCATTAAACTAAAGAGGCCTTTCTTCATCTCCCCAGCATATTGAGTACCAAGAATAACCATTTCCTTTCTAGCAAGATTCATGTCTATACTGGTGGAAGAAGTCATATAATGAGTATAACGATTACAAGGAAACTGCCCGGCGTTGTATATCGTGAAATCTGGAGTACCGAAGTCCTCGAGCTCTTCGGCAGTCGGTCGAATGCACCTGCCATCAAACAAGTATGAATTTGGGAGCTACTACAAAGTTGAATGTATTTCCAATTGTTGTTACATGACATGATGATGATTACTTACATGTTGTGCATGAACAAGGAATGATAAGCTCGGGCTGAGACGATTCGGACTTTGATTCGGTGTTCGGGGTCCCAGTTCAGAAACTGATCATTCACAAATACCTGGAAAAAGAGTCGAACGAGTTATTATTACCGGAAGTAAATAACTATGATGTAGATGTAACTTGAACCTAGCTCAATGACAGGTTCTCTATATCTTAAAAGGTCGGGATTCCCACCTAACAACTACAATGCAGTTGAAACTATATTGAACTCAAATTTCTTGAAAACTCCAATTAATTTGATTAATATTCAGTTTTGAACTTCATGAAATTGAACCAATTGTTCAAACTGATTGAACCTGTCCAGTTTGGTCGGATTGATCATCTTTTTATTTTCTCTTTTAAGAAAATTTCAACTTTTTAACTCCGGAACGAAAATTTCAACTTTAACTCCTGAATGAAAATTTCAACAAAATCCTGACAAGGAAAGGTAAAATTGACTAGAAGACAAACTACTCGTGTGCAAGATGATTGTGGGATGAAAGTCCCACATCCACTGATTTAAGGAATGATCATCGGTTTACTACTCTCTTCGTGAGCTTGAAAGCCCAAAGAAAAACCACGAGAACTTAAGTGGACAATATCATACTATTGTACAGAGTAGAGTTGTGTTCATCCAACCGTGTACACATAATAGACTAAATTAATTATAAAAAAAACTATTTTATTTCAAAAATACACTTAAATGCTACGTTTTTTTAAAATACGCATTAACGTAAGTATTTCGTAAAAAAAAATATTAAAAAATTATAGATATTTTTATTCGTTTAGCCTAAATACATGGTGGGGGTATACGACCAGAAATATATTTTGTCTGTTCCTTGTAATGGTTCCAAAAAGAAAATATATTAAGATCTCCGAAAATTAAGGAATGGATAATTACGTCAACAAGACACTGAAATAATGGACCAAACACGTTACCAGTTTCCGTGTTACTTTATATTAATTAATACGATAAAATATCCATAGTGGACTTTAATCGTCACTGCCACCTCATTAAATTACAAAATTGGGCACCCAACTTCTCCACAAAACACTTCCACGTAATCACACGCTGTCCTAAAAGGTCAACTAAACTAATTTCTCTTAAATAATTAATTATTTCTGACTTTTTGTTAAATGATAAATATATAAAATAAATATAACTTTCTTTTTTGTCAAACAGGGTGTCTAATTAAAATAAATTTTAAATCCATATTATTTCTTATTTTATTTCCATTTCATACCATCTAAATGCATATTATTTTTAATTTTTTAAACAAATAAAAATTTAAAATAATTAATAGGATTTAAAATTATAAAATATTTTACCTTATCCAGGGAGTTCAAGTAATCGACGGCTCTCTCTCTATTGATCAAGAAAGTATGTTCATCCATCTCAATATTAGGCGACCCCCTACAACACAAAAGCAAAAATTTCATTAATGCCGAAACGACGGCGTTTCATTAATCATTTTTTTTTTAATTTTAATTCGGATTAATTATCACTTACTTTCCCCACCAAAGCTCGTCCTCGGTGGTCTCATCTTTAACGACGCGTTTATCTCTCGGTGACCGTCCCGTTTTGGCTCCAGAAAGTGTGGCCAACGCGCCGGTGGCCGTTATGAACGAACCTTTCTCGACCTTGATGGCTTGCTCGTAAAGCTCTGTTTAATTTAAACTAAATCAGAACCGTTCGTGTTCATCTGAAAAAATGGACGGCTTAGATATGTTACCGGCGGGGGAGAGGTTGTAAAGGATGTGAGTGAACTTGAGAGCGCTATCGCTCAAATTCAAAATGGGCTCGCCGAAATGGTGATGGTCCAGTACTGTTCCTGTATGGGCCTCGGCCTTTTTTTCTGGATCGCCTCTTACAATCTTC